GGAAGAGCTGTCTTTTTAAATATCAGAAATAATTTTATACTTCATATCATTTTTGTAATAGTTTTCATTTTTCAAATGTAAACACAGATTTCATTACAGTGCCTTATTTGATACTGGCTATATTAAAAGAAGTACTCTGCAATACAGAAGCTGAAAGCCAGTTTTACTCTTCATGTATGATTCAGAAGAGCTATTTTGTTTTCAAAATATGTTCCTCTTCCAGTTTTTAAAGTCTTATCAATTCTTGTTTACAAGTTCGTTTAAATGCCAATTAACTTACAAGGGCTATTTAACTTTGAGATATGTGGGAAATTTCTCAATACTATATTTGTAAGCCTCACTAGGATTTCACTGCAACACACTGGCCCTCCACCTTTTACCATATGATCAATCTGTTAACATGTAGCTGCTTCACCACCACCTGCAGGTAAGACATTTTACAACCTACCTTAATCCAGCACTAATGGTGAAGACAGTTAAAACAAAAGGCACTAAATTAAACAGAAAGAACTTTATTCCCAAATGATGGCTCCTTAAAAGTGATGATCAAATAGACTTTCCTCTTTTTCAGTATGCAGGAGACCTTTGACACTGTTCCCAGAGCGCTTAAGCAAAGTGTCCATCTGTAGTTACCTTCCATTGTCACACACAGTGTTCAGATGTACACTTTACAAATTATTTATATAAACACATGAACATAACTGATTACAATGAAATTGGCTGCAATGACAAATATGTATTGTAAACTCAAAAGCTTATTTTTCTATATGTTTACAGGATAGTAGCCTGAGTATGTTTCACAGTTACAAAACCAGTGCAACTGACTCTAGAATCAGATATTACTTAGCAAGGACAACTGAGCGTAAAAAGCATAAGTTACACCTACGGCAGGAATTCTTCCCTGCGTAAGTGAGATGCCTAAATAAATGAAAAAGATAAATGAATTCAAGCATTGGAACAGGCTGCCCAGAGAGGTGGTGGAGTCCCCATCCCTGGAAGTGTTCAAAAAAAGGGTAGATGTGGCACTTAGGGACACGGTTTAGTCTAGTCTACCCTTCATTGGTTTAGTGTGGACCTGGTAGTGTAGGTTAATGGTTGGACTGGATGATCTTAAAGGTCTTTTCCAACCTAAACGATTCTATGATTCTATGATTCTATGAATTGTAGGAGAGTAACTATCCTAAGCAGACAAAGCAGTGGCGAGTCAAAGATAAGCAGCAACTTCAGGAAAGAATGATATTGTCAATGGCATACAAATTTTCTCCTCCCCCCCCTTAAGAAAACTGGCAAACTACAAATCTGTGATGAAACCTATATTCTGTAAGGAAAAAAGTCCAGATGGAAATACCCAAACAGATACAAAGGGTTAATATAAAAATCAGGAAGTCAAAGATCATAAGAGAAGCTAACTGAAATAATAGCCACAAAACATTTTCTTAAAAGCCCAGGTGGAAATGCATTTCTAAAACATTAGAGCTCCATTTCAAAAGGAGAAAAAATTGTTTTTAAAAAATCCAGAAAATTGTATGATAGAAGCTTTGAAGAGAGTAATCTTCTAAACAAAAAGAAGACAAGGACATTCAATGGCAAAATATCTTCAACAGACAATAAACATTTCATAGGAAGGGAAGAGACTTTTTTTTATATAAGGGTTTTAAAGGTTACAAAATTGTATAATGATTCATCATATCAAATGATTCATAACAGTACATGAACTAAAGCAACTTTTATATGGCTAGATGAATTTCAAAGGAAAAAAACAACCCCAAATCTCTGGATTCCAACACTGGATAATGCCATTTTCCTCCAAGTAATACATGAGCATCTTTTTCAGTATGACAACTCATACATTCTTGTTTCTTTTCAATAATACAACTAGGCTACTTAAAACAGTCAATTTTTTCTCCTAAACAGTATAATATATTGGTGTGGCTGGCAGGAGGTTAAAGATATTTTGTACAGATGTTTTAAGAAAACAGCGGGACTATATAATTCCTTTTAAATTCAGAAGCATTGAAGTTAGTATCTTTTTCTCAAAAAACTGCTCAGTTTTCTGAAAATGCACTGAGATTTATATGTAAATAAACAAAGAAAACCCCTCACCAATTTCATTTTGCTGCACTCTCTCTAGTTACTTGTAACATCACCCTCATCTACAACTCTCTGTAATGGGCCTGAAGTTTCCAGCACTGTCATACTGTACTGTAGCACTAAGAATGTGCACTAATGCGTGTTAACCAAAACCAAATTTTTAAGGTCTTTTTGCACCTAGATACTTTTAATTCCTCCTCCCACAATAAAGAAGGAAAGTTATAATATATCCTTATATGCAGATTATTATATAAGAATTACAGACAGAAAAAATAAAGAGTTTCAAATTTATTTTAACATTTATTGAAATGAATACATTAAAAACATGGTTGACTATTTTGAATATTCTCCTACTTAAATATTTTGAAAGCCTGTTTTTAAACTAGTACTGCTAGATACACTTTCAGATTATTTTAGCACATCTCCAAAATTTTTAAATCTAATGGCAAAATACTGAAGAAAAATGTCATAAACATTAATTCTTCTAGTAAAATAAACTATAAATTGACATGCCATGCATTTCCACACAGGTTTTACCTCAACCTTCTAGATTGCTCCTTCTAAATTTAGTGGGATTAATCATTCACGATACTGCTCTTATTTGTTACTCCAAAGAAAGAGCCATTTCACTAGTCAACACTTCAGAATTTAGAGTAATACAAAACCTAAGCTCACTTTTTATTTAGAAAGACAATTAAGATCACTTATTAAAAAATATCAGAGGACAGTCCAGTTCCTCTTCCAACAGTAAACTTTTGTCTAGTTCTTGAAAGGTTTTGCTTGAAGTGGTGATGGTATATATTCAGAAATGATGCAAAGCAACTTACCTTGAATCACCTGAAAAACCCCATAAGAAAAACTAGAATGAATTCCAAACACAGTCTGGTGCTGTTGCCCTAAGACCATCCATCTTTACATACACTCTTAAAACTGAAATTCCATTGTGTCTGACAGGGTAGGTCAGCTATGTAAGAACTCAATGGGCATACGTGATCCTGGGTCCTGGCAATATTGTGAAAACAGTCTACAAAGGACTGTTATTGCTATGCAATGATGTAGAACCATAGAATCGTTTAGGTTGGAAAAGACCTTTAAGATCATCCAGTCCAACCATTAACCTAACCCTACCAAGTCCACCACTAAACCAATTCAGGGTAGAGTAATAATTAATTTCATGTTTCCTGGCTTGGTGGCTGGATTATTTTTTAATGAAAGTAAAACTAGAATAGAATCATTAAGGTTGGAAAGGACCTCTAAGATCATCAGCCCAACCGTCAACCCAACACCACCATGTCCACTAAACCATGTCCCAAAGTGCCACGTCTATCCGTTTTCTGAACGCCTCCAGGGGTGGTGACTCCACCATCCCTCTGGGCAGCCTGTTCCAATGGGATTAATTTCAGAGGCTTAACGTTGAAAAAATACAGCATCTTTAGACAGGAGCAACATCTGGCATCTCATGTCATTCAACTCCATCCAGGACAACACGGTAACACTCACCTTTATAGAAAGATATATATCTATATCCATATCAGTTTCCCAACAGTTTTACCAGCTGTGAAACACCCTTGAAAAAACCCACACTGTTTCAGAGTGTGATTTAAATTACATGTTCAACAGTTGTTCAATGTTAAATTGCAACTTATGGTCAGCAATGACCATCTGTAGCCACTTAACAGCTTACTTTCATCAACAATTTCATTTTACCAAGTTCTTGGTACCAACACATTATTAAGATAGAATATGGTTTTCAAGGAAAGTGTCAGACACTAGTGGATAGTACAAATATTTAGTACCTTGACAAATAAGTAGCAGATATCCAGTCAAACTACACTGAAGTCCAAGCTGGAGCTCAAACCAGATAGCATACAATATATAAAGGTCCTCCTTTGATTTGCCTTGATGATTTGGTGATCTATGTATTTTTTTTTCCCCTACAGCAAACCTCAACACATCTGTCACGTTTTATACCACTAAGAAACTGCCAACCACAAACTGCCTTTAAGATGTGATGGTTTAGTCTTGATGATAGATGCTATTATCTAGTACCTCAAATGTATTTCCTTTATATGGAAGAAACAGTGGCTACACGGATGAAAAAGGGATTTTAAAGCAACATGTACACAAACACACACCTGGATATTTGCATAACTTCTTTTGTCACAAAGTGACCAATTATATTGAGAGGCAAGTAATAGCTAGTAGCTGCTTTTACAGGTTAGTTTGCAAATCAGAGATTGTGCTTGCAGTTAACTGCTGCAGTAAATGGTTGTATTTTAAGATGTTTTAAAAAATGAAATTTGATTAAATATAACCATGTCAAGACCATGCAGCAGCTCACATTCATTGGAAATTAATAGTGCCCAAACATGTCACTTGAGCAGTCCCATAGCTCCTACCAGTGGCCATAAGCCTGTCCCAGCACATTACTAATTTGAAACAACCAATAAACATCTCAGATTAATAAGCTACACGTACCATTATAGCACAGGTGCCAGCATTCTCTGAACTTACAACTACATTAGACATCACAAACTTAGAAGGTTTCTATTATGAAATAGTATGCTGTTACTTAGGTTTGAAAACTGCTTTAAAACTATTGCTAATGGTTTCAATATATGTACGCAACTTAATGCAAAGCCACCTAATAGAATGGTGGCCCATCTTTTCAGTTGGGTCATCACAGTTTTTCACTCTGCTTTGATACAAATCGACAATACAAGCAACTCTCTGCAGAGCTATGAAATTCAGTGAGCACTGACCCACCAATCATACTCCACACACCTCAGAGGAGTCACAGATGTCCCTCAGACCCGCCCTCATGGCAGGGCCAAAAGAGAAAGAAAACACAGCAGTTACCTACTGCCATCTCCTGCCGTCATTACACAAATCCACTGAGCTTAGCACACATTCTCTGAAAGCTCTCGTGGAAAGAAATCTCTCGCTCAGCAACGCACAAACCACAGGCTTCTAAAAAAGAATTTTGTGTTGGAACTAGGTTAGCTTCCTGGGATATACATCTGTCAAACATCAAAGTTCTGTCAGCAAGAATCTCATTTTTAAAGTCATTATAGTATACAGTATCAACTATATTTTTAAAGTAAATGGGAGAGGAGGAACATCAGCTTCACAACTCTAATAGAGCCGTGACTTTAACTGAAGTTTAATATTAAACCACATACTGCTAAAACAAATGCAGTAGTAATTTTACATAAAACTAGATAGCTGAAAATTCACTCTAGTAAAAATTTCTTCAACGTTTGCAATAAAAAAACGTTATGTTTAATAACATTGCCTTTAGAACCTTCTGATAAGTTTTGCAACTGTCTTAACAGGGTAAACACCTGCCTTTCTCAGAGAAAGAAAAATACTGTTCAAGTGTGGTTTGTAGTACAACTATCCTTGACAGGCAGGTAAAGCAAAGAAAGCCAAATTTCCTTTCAAACTTCCAAAACGTATCACAAGAACAAAAGAAATGTGAACACAAAATAATTGGCTTCCTCCCTTAATTAGATGTCTTAATTCATAGTAAATTACTGTATTTATTCAGAGGACTGATCTTAAAACAATTCTTAACCTTATGTCAAGACATCTTCCTTTAAACAGAAAATTTTAGTAGTTTACGTCTGTGTACTTGCTATCATGGTAAGTATAGAGTTATTTCTTTTAATAATTATTTCACCACTGCCTTCCCACCCTTCTCTTTTTAAGCTAGTCAAGTTTTTAAGTTTCATGCGAGGCTTTTAAAATGAAACTAGATAACCCAATGAATTGCCACCATAGCGGTTTCACTCATACTTCATTTTTAAAACAAATTCATAGAAGGCATAACCAAGGCAATCACCCACTGTTCTGTCAAAAAGATATCAAAGCTAAAATTACAGTCTCTGAAAGTCTGATCCACTTTCAATCTGTCTTCAAAAAAGCAAGCAAGCAAAAAAAAAAAAAAATCATAAACCACATAATTTATGGCTCCCACAGCTTGCTTAACCGAGAGGACAAAACTAAAATCAGAGTTCTGCTTTGCAGTCTTCCAAAATTCCATGTACCCATTCACAACATGTTTTACTGCATTTTATACCTAGCTACTCAAGTAAAACCTCTTAATACATCTCCTTTCTCAACATCCTTTCTCATTACTCAGCCACAGCTACTTCAATTAACCAAATAGCTGTTGTTATCCCTTGACGCCAGATCCTTCTTTCTGTCAACTGCCAGATTGTCAACGTTCCTAAATGGCAGCCTTCCCAACAGTTTCCCAACCTATTGTCTACTTCAAGATTCATTTCCCCTGTCCTACAACCCAGCAATCCTTTAAGTAACTCAACTTTTTGCTGAAAAAAGTAGTAACATGATTTATAAAGTAAATATTTTAATTGTTTGATAACTTAAACCTGCTTTAAGACATTTTACCTTTGAAGCGCTCACTTGGCAAGTCAAATATCAATTACAGCTGAAAACATGTAAAACTTAACTCTACATAAAAGCCAAAATTTTGAGAACTGTTAGCTACAGGTGTCCCCAGAATAAGGTGTGTTATGGGCTCTTGGCAGCTTGGAGCTTACCCCATAGCATTAAGGTGTCTTTGAAAACCAATACCAGCTGAATCACAATCACTGCATCAAAAATGTTTTGGATAAAGAGTGGAATGAATTCCTCAAACTTCATGAGTACTAGTAACAATCTAATGTAAACCCTAGCACATTACCTCCTTCTTCCTCAAAAGCCACTTTTTATCAATGGGAATAAAAACAAACATTGTAGTACCTTCGACCAGTTGATTCTCTTCATTGCAACTTCCAGCTTATACTTTTTCTTCTCCTTCATCCCATGTGGTAATGCTGGTATCACTGGAAATGGAGCAAAAGGAATGCCTCCAAGAGGTGGTGGCATTGGAGGCCCACCAAAAGGCGGTGGTGGAGGAGGTGGTACTGCTCCACCAGGTAGCGGAGGTGGTGGAGGTGGTACTGCTCCACCAGGCAGCGGAGGCGGCGGAGGGGGCAGTGGTCCCACCGGGAGCCGCGGCGTGCTCCACCAGGCAGCGGAGGCGGTGGAGGTGGCACTGCTCCACCAGGCAGCGGAGGCGGTGGAGGTGGCACTGCTCCACCAGGCAGCGGAGGAGGTGGAGGAGGAGGAGGTGGTACTGCTCCACCAGGCAGCGGAGGTGGCGGCGGAGGTATTACTCCACCAGGTAGCGGAGGAGGTGGCGGAGGAGGAGGAGGTATTGCTCCACCAGGCAGTGGAGGTGGTGGAGGCGGAGGTGCGCCTCCACTAACTAGCAGAGGCGGTGGAGGAGGTATTGCTCCTCCAGGTAGCGGAGGTGCCGGAGATGGTGGCACATTCTCACTTGGTAGGGATGCAGGTAATGGTGCTACTTCTGTCAGTTGACCTGTCAGGCCTGGACCCTGAAATATAAAAGAGGAATTCTTTTAATTGGGGGAGGGAAGGAGGTTTCATATGAAGTTGAATCAACTAGCATATCTTGTAGTCAACTGTACCTCAAGAAAGTGAGAAATGCAACCATTCTCCTATTTAAATGAGAAGCAATAACAATAGATTATACTATGTACCATAAAACTGCCAAGTAAACTGAATAACCTAGCATTTTTATAAAAACAAATTGTTTCCATTTTAAAGAAAATTTAATACTAGCAGTAACATTTAAGTGAAAAGAACAGCATTTTATTTCTTACCAATGCACAAAACATTAATCCCTCTTAGGATATCCTGGCAAGCTGGGGCATCAGAGATGGTAATAACCATGCTGAATTTTAACAGCACTAATGTGCTGGTGGAAAACTTTCCACAGAAATCACTGAAGCAGCTATTGCAGTGCAAGAGGTTATGGGATCACAGTTGTTCATAACAACCCTGGCATGGGGAGTAGGGATAAAAAAACAATAATCATGCTTTCTTTTAAATCTGCCTGCTGTTGTTTCTGTGGTGATCGGAAAAAAAGCAATTGCAACATCCATTCCAATAAGTTTTAAAAGGAACAATGAAGAGAAACAGCAGCATGTTAAACCATCAGAGAGGTTTCTGTAGTGATAACATGATCCTGGTCTAGTACAAATTCCTCACAGATATGTATCCTTCAAAATTATCTGTTAAAAAGCAGCATCAGGAGCTATGCACAAACCTCCATACAAGCTCATATTTTATTTCCTCTACTAACTAATATTTTATTACAAAATTATTATGTAATATAGGCCATTCATTTAATCTGATTTGCATACTATTTCGCTATGCAATTATTTACTGTTTCAAGTTTAAATGAAGCAAGTTTGTTAAAAAAAAAAGCTGAGAAAAATCTGAGTGCATCTGAAAATAAATGCCACAATAGATTGTATGGGGAGCATAAGGCTAGAGAAAAAAAGGCATAGATAGTAGAAAGCTGATGTGTATCACTTAATTGTACCCTTAATGTCAATGAGCTGTAATGTCTGGATATTCTGAATTGAGTTAGTATCAATATAACAGGATTGATAATTAGACTAAAAATAAGTTTTTGGCATTGCACAAGGCATGTGTTTCTTTGGCCCAAATTACTACACAGGTTAGAGAACTCGTTAAAACAGATTGTCAAATTTCAGTGTAACACTGTCTTATAGATATCTGAAACAAACATTAAAATTGATAACAATGAAGTATGAACAGAAGTGTCTGTGTGTGAAAACAGAATAAGAAACCACAAGACACCACAGTTACAAGAATGACTTGTATTGATAGCAAAGGACACAAAGAACAGCAATCCAACCATTAAATGCAACGTAACGTGCTTACATTAAGATGAGAAGGCCAGTGCTCTGATAAGGCTATCGCACAAACAACTTGCCAGCAGAAGACCAGTATCCTGAAGGCAGGATGATGGCAACCAGGTTATAGCACATCACGTGCTATTCTTCCTCTTATTATCCAAATCGAAAGTGAGACCATAGGCATTAAGATATCCACAATGAGATAAAAAGGCAACAGGCCAACCTTGCCTAGCATTGAAGAAGTAGGAAATAAGCCAGGCTGAGGCAAAATGATCAAACCTTAGTATCTGTTGGTTCCTAAAGGGTATAAAAGGCCTGTCTAAAACCCAATTCATTGTCATTAAACAAAAGAAACCCAAGAGATACTGCGAGGGGTCAACAGGCAGCATTTCTTGTCCTCTCTGCTTCACTAGTGATCCGGGACAGATCACTTGGAGATACAGTTTTGGTGCCTGTGAGCAAAATTCACGAGGAAATGAATGTAAGAAAAATCAGCTTTGCTGAAATTAAGTATCACCTTCCACTTCCATAAGGTCTTGCATTTTTTGTTATATTCACCTATGAGACTGTATAAAGCTAGTGTAATATTAATTTTAGAAATGGCCAGAGTCCGATATCCAGAGTTCAAAAAAAAAAGTTATTATCAGGTGCATGCACATGCTGAAAGGTATGTATATTGTGCACGCACACCTATCATGATTTCCACCTTTGCAATTTAAGCATAAAGCCTTCTGAAACAAACACTTTCTGCAAAACATACAGAAGTAGTAATGTTAAAGCATAAACAAGTACTTGCGGGGGGGGGGGG